CTTTGCTGGGGATGATATAGTTAAAGTATTATTATTGTTATTATGGTGCTAGGGATTGAACCAAGGGCCTTGTGCATGCCACTGAGCTACATCCTACTCCTAAAGTGTTATTTTTTGAAGAAACAATGGCTTCAGTGTGTCTGGGTCCTTGTTGGGTGCTTTTCCTATGTTACCTCATTTAATCATCACGATAACCCTGTGAAGTAGGTGCTAATATTCTCATTGTAAATCTGGAACCATTACCACGGAGCAGTTCAGTAATATGCAGTAGTTACAAGGTCGGTGAGTGCTGGGCCTGGGACTTTGCCCTGACAGCTTGAACACTTTCCTATATAGGATGAGAAATTCCCAAACATCTGAGCCCAAGCATGGAAAAAAAATAAGTTAAAAAATATACATGAAAATGGAAGAGGGATTGGAGGTAGTGGAATCAGGCACAATATTTCTAGTGCCCTAATAATATAAAAACATATTCACTATAAACTTTTTAAACTCTAAAATGTTCATGCTTGGTGTGCTACACATAAAAGTATGTTTATTCAGCCACTAATGGCAGACTGATGAAAGCTAGATGTGAACCTTTTAACATTTTGATATAAAATGAGCCAAACTATAAGATTTTAGTACTCTGATGTCTCTTTATTTTTTCAGTTTATGAGACGAAACTATGAGTATTATGGTAAAAGTGTTCTTATGTTTGGGGGATAAACTATCTTTTATTGTGTGCAACAAATAAACACAGTAGCCATTTTTAGAAAAGGGATATAAATAAATAAATAAATAAATAACCAACCAACCAACCAATCCAAATAAAAACCAACCTCAAAGAAAAATAGCCCTAATTCTTACCATGAATAAAATAAGATGTCATATATATTTTATTTTATGGACTTTCTTTTAATCAGTCTTACTTTCTGTAGTCACTACCAACTTTTTCTAACTTTTGTTGTCTTGTTTTTACCACCTTCCATGAAACCAAAAAGTTGATGCATATTGGAACAAATTCCTCTAACTTTGGAATGTTGTTTTTGATGTGGTATTTAAGTGTTTTCACACAGATCAATGGCTTTCCCTTTTTTGCAAAAGGTAAAGTCTCCCTAAGCCAGAACACTTTCTTGTACAATAGCATCTTAGCCTGATGAGGAATGAGTTCTTGGATGAACCTTTAAGACATTATGTCAACTCAGAGGAGGCATAGAAGAACAAATGCTGTCAGATCCCACTTAGGAGATACCTAGAATAGGCAGATTCATGGAGATGCAAAATAGAAGTTACCAGAGGCTGGAGGAGGGGTGGATAGGGGGTTATTTTTTGATAAGTACTGAGTTTTTGTTGGGAATTAAGAAGTTTTGGGTATAGACAGTGGTGATTGATTATATAACATTGTGAATGTATTTCATATCACTGAATTATACACTTAGGAACAGTTAAAATAAGTATTATATTTACCATAAGAAGAAAAAAAGTAAGAATTATGCCAAGATATTACAATTATGGAGCAGAAAGTTCTAGCTTTTCTTCCTGGACTCAGAGTTTGAATATTTTCTGATTCAACCACTTCAGAAATTTCTCTTGCAGTCTTTTCTTTCAGTCATTTGGTTCAATCATTTGATAAATAGTTATTTGGAAGCAATGATACATCATATCATACTCTGAGGGACCGGAGTGATGAGTAAGAGAGGTCTCTTGCCCAGGGCCCTGAGAGAGACAGCCACATTCACAAATGATTAAAATATACTTATAAAGGCTATAGGAGAAACAGTGAACCCTAGTGGGAGCACAGGAGAGGAAAATTGGGAATCGGGGCTCCAGAGGAGAGTTGATAACTGATCTGGGTTTGAAGTTTGAATAGGAATTGGGCCGCTTATTTTGTATTTCAATAAGAGGCAGTACATGATCACTCACATTTTCTGCCTTGGATCTGAGATAGCGGCAGCATTTTCAAATATTTTGTGATATTTTCCCCTTATGTATCTGTAAGCAAAAGGGTTCCTGGGGGCAGAAAAACATCTTAGTTCATTCTCTGTCCTACTTCCTAAGTAACTGTCAGTAAAACAACTTTGAAAAATAATTCAGAGTCAACAGGATGTGCTGGGATCCCTCAAAGAGCTTGTGATTAGCAGGGCATGAGGGGAGGGCAGCTGGTGGTGCCCTAGGAAGCAGTCTGTTTGGGACCACCGTTCAGAGGTCGCAGAAATGATCTCTGCTGGGGCATGGAGAAGCTCCACGGGGGATGGGGCCTCTGTATTTTCCTATTTAGGGCTGTGATTTGGATTATTTGGACATAGAAAGATGGATAACAGCAGGAGGCAAAATACATGTGCTTTATTCAGGGGAAGCTGTGAAAAAGCAAGTGAAGGGTCCTTCAGGGCCGAAGGGTCTTAAAGTCTTCAATATTCCACTCATTCTTGGAACCAAGAGCCCTACTTTGTTATTGTTTATGTTTAGGAGGGAAAGGCCTCAAGAGTCTTTGCTCCTTGTACCCATGTACAAGGGGTGGTAGAGCAGAAAACACAGTAAAGGTTGTCATCCAAAGGCCCTGAGTGGGCATTGGGCTCTGGGGTGGGTTGGGAATAGATTGAGCCAGAAAGTGTAACTAGTGAAAAGAATATGTCTTGGAGTCAGCCCTGGGTTCCAATCTTGGACTAAAAAATTATTAGCTTGGACTCAAAAATTACTAAATTAATTAAAACTTCCAAAACCTTATTTTCTTTGTGTATCAAATGGGGATTATTATAGTGTCTTCACAGAGGGTGACCAAGAGGACTAAAGAGGATGGGTAACAGTAATGCTTAGCTTACAGGCTACCTTAGTGTGAGCAACTTCCCCAGGTGATATTTAAAAGTCCCGTCTAAGCCTGAGGGTCTGTAAAATATTTTGAAGATATTTTCCCTCCAAAAATAAGTTATTCGTATAATCAAACTTAAAATATATGACCAATATGTTTCTAGACAAGTAATGTAAGTAATTTCAAGTGTAAACAAATATATCACAAAGTGGAGTCTCCTAGAATAGAAGCTAATCTCTAGGAATTAAATATTTTTGGAAGGTGAATTAACCATTATTCCTTCAAGTTGCAATTTAGGGCTCAGAACTATGTGTTTTAGAAATGTTATCGTTCTGGTAGATGGAATCTTACCTTACCTTTCAAGTGGCTTTGTTTATTGAAAGCTCTGAATGTTAGGGTTTTACTCTGTGCATTGTGTCTTACTGCTGAAGTGACTCCCAGAAATAGTTGAGAGTGTGAATTCAGGTTCAGAAACATCCAGTTAAAAAGACCCTAGATTATGGTGCCTTCTCTTATGCCCCTAATAAACTTTGTCGTCATTACTAGTCACTTTACTGAATCCCCCTCCCCCCTTTTTTTTTTCAGTTTTTCAGGTGAACCTCTTAGTTTTTAAAATTATACAATGACATTATCAACGAATGATCTTTTCTGCTTTGTGACTTTTGCATCCTTGTTTGTGTCTCCTGATGAGAGAAATCTGTCAGGATGGCATTGACAGAAGGTAGAGAAGGTGTCCCGTGTTTAATATATTGTCATTTCATCTGAATCCCAGCGCACCCCTGTTATGTCTTTCTTGTCACTCGGATCTCATCATAGAGGAACTTTTGGTAAAATGTCTTTTCCCAGTGAACTCTGAACACATTAGGGAAAGGATCTCTTCTTGATTCATCTCCATGAAATGTTTATATTGATCCCATGTAGATATTTGTGGGAATTATGAATAAATATCTTAAATTTTCAGGGTTCAATAGAAAGTATGTGAGGATAACAATGTCCAACAGGAAATTATGGGTATCTTTACATATAATTTCAAAGAATATTCTACTCAGTTGCCTTTCTTAAAAAAAAAAAAAAAACTTTTTTTAAATCATTTTTTAAAATTTTTTTTTTTTTTATGTGAGAGAGCAAGGGAGAAAATTTAAAGCTGTAATCCTACTTATCATTAAAAGAAACAGGGGAAGCTCAAACTTTGTCTAAACTGTTGATCCATGTATGAATTCCTTAATTCATTTTCTAATTTATATGCTTTCTAGCAAACGAACAAATCAGCCCCAAACTGAATAAATTAGCTGGCTACTTTATTATGTGTCCATGAGGGCAAAAAGATAAAATTTATGTTGATTATATTTGCTACATTTTAGCATTTTAAACAGTATCTACTCTAATACTATATAATCTCCTTTGTTGATACTGTCCATACTACAAGTTTTATATATTCCTATTTGAAATAATGTTTGTCTCCTAATGTCACTCATGTATTTAATAATTTTAAAATAGTAGGATTTTTGCTGGGACTGAGCAATGAGAAAAAAGATTTCTTAAGGAATAAATGAAATACATCAAAGAATAATTTGCCAAGCCAATATGGTAGAAGTCATATTTATTGAAAAAAATTAATATCTTTGCTATAAAATTTGTAACAGGAATATTTGCTGAATGTTTATTTTGATGCATAAACCTGAATGTTACATACCAAGTACAAGACAGTAGCACTAGTTTTCCCTTTATTTACATTTTATGAAAATTGTTACGCAGCCCATGTTAAAAGAACTTATGATGGAGAATTGTTACATTAGAAAAATAATATTCTTGATAAAGCATTCTCAAGGAGTCCAATCATCGTTTCTGCCTCTTCAATAAGGCAAAAGTCCCTGGAATAGCATATAACTTAATTTATAAAATACAATAACTGTTCAGACACATATTCAAGTTTTCTTTTGGTATGATTTTTTTTTCTCACTGCAAAATTACTTTTTTCTTTTTTTTTTTTTTTAAACTAAAACAGGAAGATTGACTTTCAGGAAAATGTCATTTAATGATTTCAGCTATACATTACATACACAACTCTGTAGCCTAGCAACCACCATCGCTACACCATCATTAACTTTAAATATTTTGCTTGGTGAGCTATTCTCAAATGTAGCCTATTTTAAGATTTTGCCATCATTATGATTGTGGAATCATTGTTTGGTTTTCAGAGGAAACAGATCTGTCACAGTATGAAGCTTTGTTTAGATTAAGGAACTGGTACACGATTACATTTCCACTCACAAGAGAACGCCACAGATGGAACTCAAGTCAGGCTTTGCTGGCTCAGCACAGGTCCGGTGCTGGACGGCCCTGGCCCTCCGGCTCTCCCGCTGCACAGCCCTGGCCACGTTCAGTGGGTTTCAATTCCCGAGATTCCCTGCTCTTCACAGTTAGGTAGTTTTAATTCCTTCAAAGGCACACAACTTCCATCTCTTTTCCAGTGTTGCTCCCACGCCCGTGAATTCCTGCTTGAACATGCGTGGCAGCCTCATCAAAAGCATTTCGATTTCGTTGGCGGATATCTATTAGAAAGGAAGAGAAATCACTTGTGGGAAAGAAGTGCATCTTAAAGCAGGTGATGGGCTGGGAGGCCCCCTCCCCTTCCCCAGGGAGACAAATAATGTTGAGTTTTCTGTGGCTGAGCAATGTCATCCTAGTAGGAGTGTGTGTGTAAAGCATCTAATGTAATTATCCTGGTTTCTGAGCAGCTGCTGGGAGCGGGCATGAGATGAATGGACAGAAGATTCTGGGTTTGCTCTTCCTGGCTGCCTTATTGGCAAGGCCAAGCCATGCTCAGATTGCATATTCCTTACCCCGAGGACAGAAATATTCTTTAAGTCAGTGAGGAGCAGCGGACATTCCTAGTGGATTTCTTGCCATCCAAACTTCTTTCTCAGCTATGAGGTACAGCTACATGCCACATTTTGTGTGTGTGTGTGTGTGTGTGTGTGTGTGTTGGGACTTGAACCCAGAGCCTTGTGCAGGGTAGGCAAGTGCTCTACCACTGAGCCACATCCCTAGCCCTGGAGCTGCAACCTAATATCTATCCCACATATCTCCTAGGACTGTTGGGAGAAGGTAGTGAGAATGTGGGTCTAGATGCTCCACACAGTACCCACAGGAAAAAAAAAAAAGATACTTTTAAAAAGCATATAAACCTTTTAATAATCTATTATTAACACAGACCAGAGAGCAGGAAGCCTTAAGAATGAAAACTAAACCCCAAACTTACAACAATAAATGTCTTAGATGCAGCCATAAAATCCAGGTAGAATTTTTAGTGCAATTTTTTTCATCTCAGATTTTTTATAGTAATTTTTACACCAACAATTCATTTTATTTTAAAGGAAGAACAAATGAACCATAATCCTTCTGTCCGAATTCAGCTGTTGCTCTTGTGTTCTCTGTGTTTACATCCAATCTGTGTGTGTGCCTGGGGAATCTCACGAAGCAAGGTGGCTAATTAGGGGTCTGATATTCTGTTTGAATCCTCTATCTACTATTGTTATGAGCTAAATGACCCTTACAAAGATAATTAGTCCCTTTAAGCCTCCGCAAATGGGACTAACATTTAATAAGGATGTTATGAAAGCTCTAGCTCTAGCACAGAGTTGGGCACATAGAAATGCTCCATGAATTAGAGCTATTATTATTTCTCATGGTGTAATCACTGTAGAGATCATTTCAGATGCTACACTTTCCATTTAACAATATTAAGATTAACTTAAAATAGAGACCAAATAGACCAGAAAGTCAAATCAACTGTGTTTAATATTCACATGAAAAACATTTTATATATTTTCAATATACAAAACTTTAAATAGAGGCAGTTCAAAGATAATGGAAATAAACTGTATTTCTAAAATTTTTGTATGAATTATTTTGAAATGTGAATGCATTTGGCCACAAAACCATGTTAGAATGATTATTAGAGTCCTAAGTCAACCCACAGAGGGTTACTGAACAGATTATTAAATGGTTCATGGTGATATGGAAAAGCAACTCTCCTTTCGATGGGCACCATGCAGATCACCCGGCCCTGAGTTCTCGCTGCATTCTCCCAATAGTCCTGTGAGATATGTAGGTAGATATTAAGGTGCAGCTCCACTTCACAGCCGAGAAAGGTGAGTGAACTACAGAGGGTCAAGCATTTTGTCAATGGCAGAGCTTTGAAAGGAAACAGCTCTATGTTGGGGCCTGGGTGTTGGTCTGCTTGAAGGACTCAACAGTCCCCCCAGGACTGTCAGCAGTTGTAGTGGGGACAGCAAGGGGTGCTGTGTGGCGCATTCTGAATACCCGGCACCTGGGCCACTTATTAAAAGACTAGCTTCTCCAGCCTTTTCTCCGGGGTCTCTGGGAAGCAGTCTGGGATGTAGTCCAGCTCATCTATTTTTAACAACCACCACTGGGAATTCTGATGACCAGGCACCTTTGGGTTAAGAAGGGGACTTAATTCAATGAGTCACTGAGAAGTTTCCCTAGCCAGACTGTTCTCAAAACACTTGTTTTTGTTCTTACTACACTCTAATGAGACAGGGAATCATTCACAAATGCAGAAGCAGAGCCTAAAGAGCTTAGATGACCTGTGCAGAGTAACCAAGGCCATATGTGTGGGGCCGGAAGCAGGTCCAGGCAGTGTCTTAATCACAGATGCCAACCTCCACGGGTCTAGAACTGTGCAGGGAGGACCAGGAGGGTGTTCTCAGTCATGCCTCTGTGCTCAGGGTGAATATCAGCAGGGAGGGCTATGTACGGGAGGGCAGGGCTCTTCTGTGGTGAGTACTATTAGAGTGATATCTACCCAGTCAGCAGCAGAAACCTGAAAGCTCCTGACTCAATTAGCTCATGTACACTTATATGCTGAGCTTGGGCACACATATTTGAGCCATTCAGCCAAACAGCAAGCCAATCCTGAGGAACCTCGGCTGGCATATACTGAAATACAGCTAGATCTTGTTTATCATGGTACATTTTGACTTGAGCCCAGACTTCAGCCACAAAGGAAGCAGAAAGGCAGCCTCCACCACCAACTCACTGTGGGTCAGGCATGGGGTATGATATGTATACAACATCTTATGAGATAAGGTATTATGAGACCTTATCTCATAAGCAAGCTCATTAAACAAGCAAAGACACCCCTCATTTGCTGGAAGAAAGAAGTACAGTTGCAGAAGATTTGGATCCTAGTTCTGGAATGATCATTAATCATCTTCCAGTTAAATAACGTCTTTGGACCTGTTTTCTCATTTGCAAGACAAGAGAATTGGAAGAAGAAAACCCACTGAAGGCCCCAAGGAGTCAGACTGCACGTTGGCCACTGATGTACTAGCACCTGTCTTAGAAAGAGACATTCAAATATACCTGTCCAATAGGCTTGGCAAAGATCTTCAAATGAGAAAATTTGATAGGTCTTTCGTAATTCTTTTTTTTTTTTTTTTCCCGTGTACTTCAAAGCACAAAACAAGTGGCAAAGAACACTTAGGGAGTACCTACTATGTGCCATGTACTGTTCTGAATCCTTTTCCTATATAAAGTCATTCAATTAAAAAAATACTCATAAAGCCTATTTTACAGATAGTGAATTTGAGGTACAGAGAGATTAAGGTGCCCAAGTCACACACCTAGGAAGTAGTGAAACTGATATTTGAAATCCTCATAATTACTTCATTTGGATAGCAATTAGACATACCACAGATTTGGACAAAGCTAGAAATTAGTGTTATGGAAACTAATGTCCTCAAATGTACTTAACTGTATGTTTCTGTTGATAGTATAACAGCCTGATTCTGCCATAAAGATGTAAATATTGTGGACAGAGATGTGTCATAATTATGGAAAATACCACTTCAAATGAAATACTAAGATATCCAGTTAATAAGGCTCTCAGCTTAAGTCTAAACAATTTCCTTAAATATGCTTATAATGCATGCCAGGAGAAAGGTATAGGAGAAAATGCTTTTAAATTAGTTTGATTTTTTGTTTTGTTTTAGTCCTTAGTTTTAGTCTTTTATACTTTTAAGTCCTTCCCCTATCCTACAAAATAAACTCTTCAAATTGTACTGTTGAGAGCCACAGCCGAAGGGGCCCCAGCAAACTTTCAGACTGCCAGCTGATGATTGGCTCACAGGGGCCCCAGCAACTTCTAACTGATTGGCTCCTCTGCGGTGATGCTCATTGGGCTGTTTCCCTGCCCTTTCAGACCACTGAGCTGCTCATTGGGGGACTTTTTTGGCTCTGCCCACACAACCCAGCCAATCGGCCTCAAGAGCAGGAGGAGTGGGGGAGGTGGAGAGGCTTGTGGGAAGCCGGTGGTGGCAGTTGGGCTCTGAGGGTTTTTCCTGAGGAGCTCTTTTGTTTGGCTGTGTGGTTCTAAAAATAAAGTTAGTTTCTTTTGACAAGTGGCTCCTGAATTGTGCCCAGCCAGAATGTGGCATTGTATGTTTTGGAATTTTTCAAGAGAAAATTCAATTTCTCCTTCCTTTTCATCCTATAACCAAATAATTTTTGCTTTACAAATATCTGCATGGATCCTTTTCCTTCCTATAAGTAGATTCTTGATCTTTAGAACTGAGGGAATCAAAGAGTCATCACAAAGCACGCAGGCCTCAAGGGCTGAGCTCTGAGTGGAACGGACCCATTCCTCATCTTGTGCAGGATTTGCTTGGAGTCACTTCCAAGGTCAAGGGTTCTCCCTAAGCTCTTGTTTTCATCAGTGGGTTACAGGAAAAGGCTGGGTCTTCCACCCTGGTGAATGGAAGGACTAGAACTTGGGACAGGGCTTCTGCTGCTGAATCCAGCTCTGCTCTCAGAGGAAAGGATTTCCCTCCCACAGCTCCTATGAAGAGTCAGATATGAGTGGCCAGAGTAGCCTGGGTGGCACTGGGATTGGGTTAGACAGGTGCTGTGGCTGCGGTCTTGCTCCCTATACCCAGGGAAGACTGCCATAGCCTGATGCCTTTTCTACCCTCTTAACTCAGCTAGCTTTTGTTCCAAGAAATTGGTGGCCCATATTTTTTTTTAATCTTAGATACTGTTCTTGGATTCTCTCAGTTGTTTAAAAATTTCTAATTTATTTCCTTAAAATATTTTTCAATTATAGTGTTTTATGCAGATTAATCACACAAATTGAATGGGGTTCAATGGAGCATTGTCATGTAATGATATCATACTTTGAATTTGTCTACCCAACTTTCTACCCTCTCTTCCACTTTGAGGTCATCTTTATTTTCTGTAAATTATCACATATGAAAAATAACATGCAATACTTGTTTTTCTGTGCCTGACTTATTTCACTTAACAGGATGTTCTTCAGTTTCATCCATTTTACTGCAAATGACAGTATTTCATTCTTTATGGAGGAATAACATTGCTTCATGTATATGTGGCAAGTTTTCCTTATCCACTCGTCTGTTGATGGGTACCTAGGCTGATTCTATGTCTTGGCTGCTGTGAATACTGCCATGATGGGCATGGGCATGCATGTGTCTATTTTTATGCTCACTTCCTTTGGATATATGTATCC